TATAGCTAGAGGCACAAGACTAAGAAAAACAGTAAGCTCATTTGCCTTGTTGAGGAAAGAGTATGAATTCATATAGACAGCAGCCGCTGCTGACCCTTTTAAATCTAAATCACAGAATGAATTCAGATCCGGACTTTGTCTTACAAACTCACCTTTCCTTGCTTGCCACAAATTCAAGCATAAACTGAAAACTGTCCCATATTTGTGCTTTATGTGGAATGAAGATGCCTCTCAAGGAAAGCCCCCTCAGGCTGAGGCCACTATGGGACTCCTGTGCAAGGGGCTTCAAATTTCCTTCAAAGTACAGGGCTATGTAATCTTCTTCAGTGATCAGCTGACTTGAACCCAGGCCTAGTTCTGACAGAACAGTTGTGTAATCTTGGCTCAAACTTCTGAAAAAAAATGCTAAATTGTCAGAAAATGCTATGAGGAAGTCCATAAATTAAAGCCATGAAAAATGAGGAAGGTAGAATTGCAGAGAATGGTAGGATTGTTAAGAACAGTAGGATTGTTAAGAACAGTAGCAGACCAAGATTTCAAGAGGACAAACACTTGCACAAAAATATTCTGTCAAAAAAAATTAAGAACTACAAACTATCGTAAGTATACATTATCATCATCGCATGTATCACCAACACAAGTATGTCTCCGCACAACATCCAGGACATCGGCTTACTGTTTAAATGCTTTACTGAAAGAAGAGAGTGACAGATGTGAAAACATATTTATGCTCTCAACAAATATATTAGTCTCAGTAGGAGGCAAAAGAATAAACACCACACAAAGTACAGTAAATAAAAACTGAAAGTGTTTATTATACTGTCACTTCTGATTCCAGGGGATTTAATAGATATTTCCTTATAACATTCATGTGCCCTTTGGAGACTATGATGACGGAACGACGTATTACTATCTTCCTTTCATTTAGACACCAAATCAGATGCATCAGATGCAAACATGGGCTCACCTGTAAGGCCAACCCCAGTTTGGGAAGCACTTCAGCATATACTTGAGTACCGCGTGGTACCATGCATTTGTACACCAAAGAGCCTTGCTGAATCCAAGCTTGAATGGTAGCACAGAACACAAGCTGACGCTGTTGATCTCATGGATGTGCACTATCCAATCCCCTATAATTTCTTTCACTAGTCCCTTTCTCATCTATATTTTTTCCCAAGATCCTTCTTTGATGTATTTTTCTCCAGCCCTAGCCCTCTGCTTCCTTCCTGCTTTCTCCCCAAAATCAATGCCCCTGGATCAAGTACTCAAGAGAGGAAACTGAGTACTGCATTTTAAGACACTCCTGGAAAACACCGAAAAATGAAATGGCCCCAGGGTGTCTGCCAAGACAGGACTAGAAAGAGACTTTGGATTTGGGGAAGAAGAATAAACGCCAGAATATCTTTTGACTCTGGTCGTATGACTCACAAGTAGTTTCCACACGAAAGAAATCCCCGAAATACAGAGTAGAGGCAAGAACTGGGGCGAAGTTGTGGCACACACCCTCAATCTCAAGAGACAAGAAGGTTCTACATTCCCGTTCTACATGTGCAATTCTCATATTTCAGACATGATCTAGGAGAAAGTGCTATTGGTGATAAAAATGTTTTGTATGAGGTGTTAAGTTGATGTATGACATTATGCACATAAGTAAAAAACAACTGTGGGAAAACTGAACTTCTTATAGAAACTTTATATCTCTGCCTCATATTCCTACAAGCAGACATACCTGGCCTTGAATTCTCACCCACAGAATTGCAGCTTCAAGCACAGTACCACCCATGCATCATATTTATCTGAAAAGCTTAACAGCAGTATTCACGCAAGATTCAGCAATAGCTACTCAGCCATGTGCTTGCCCTACCAAAGCAGAATCTAGCAAAACACCCACTGCAAAAATTCACGCCTCAGCTGTTTAGGCCCTGCTCCCCATTCTGAAGAACCATAAGACAACCAGTTTAGCTAGATTTAATTGTGTTATGTGCTACCAGACTAGTAGGAAACAGGTGAGTATAAAGGACCATCAGTCTGCTCAGTTCTGTGTATTTTTGAGTAAGAATACATTATTATTAATCTTACGTTCTGATAAAGATGGGGCATAAATAATCTTTGATTCAACCTGAGTACTTATAGGAAAATGAGGTTTTTCTGTTTCAAATTTCCAGTATTTCAGTCTGGTTATTTTCATAGACAAGAATCACTTGCTATACAGTAACATGACACCCTTGAGCTGGATTAAATATGTTGTATTCTTGCAAAGATAGCCATTTTTACACTTGAATAGTCAAAGCAAAAATTGGCAGTATCACACAACTCTAGTCAGGAGTCAAGTTTCCAACTGTGAAATGAAATTCTGTGAAGCAATTGAGTCTGTGCAGTAGAAAAAAAATCCACTGCTATCCCCATGTCTAGTTTGTAATGATTCCCTTATATAAAATGTATTGAATTGCTATTTACAAAATGAACTATTTTAAAGGGGAGAGCTGGGCCCCAGTGACAAGCTGCTGAAGCTATGAAATTCTTCAGAGAAGCTCTACACACATCTCTTCAAGACACAGAATAAGACAAAGATGAGACATGAAAAAAAGATACCTTTTAAGCAATAGAAATTGTTCATGGTATTTGATATATACGTCAAGCATTTGATAAAGTTTGGAGCCACAGAGGATTAAAAATGACTGTAAATCCACCCAAGATGAATTCCAGAGTGTATTTCTTCAGACATTTGAGGGGATTTTTTTAATCTCAGGAACAAATATTAAGCTGATAAAAAAGATTTTAAAAAATGTTCAAGTAAAGCTCTGAATAGGATTTTGGAGTTCCAGGTTCTACACAGACTTCATGCAAGGTATCGGATGCATCCTTAGTGCCCTATACTCCAACGTTAGTATTTCTATATGGTCATGAAAGCTCGGGCTTCAGTTTCTACTTGCACCCAAATTCATACTTTGTCTGTGTGCTGGTTCACAAGCTTGACTGGGAGAACTGACTGGCTTCCAACTTGGGGAAGATTAGGGGGAGAGAGAGACTCGCTGGCTAGAACCATAACCCTGCTCCTACCCACAGGCAAGCCAGATTTGTCAAAGGAAACCAAAACACACTCTGTTTCCTCATTGTCTTTTCCTGCCAGACTTGCACTCTGTCTCATTGTCAAGCTGCCCCGTCTCTCCCAGATTTAGCATTCTGTCACCAAACCCACAGTCTCAGAAGCGCAAACAGTCTCTTCACTTCTGGAGAGCATTCCTGGCCCCTCTGTCAGGCGACTTGAGAGGAGACAAATGGAGTGTACAAAGAGTCAAGTTCAAGTATTCCGAGGTAAGGAGGGCAAATGTACATTTTCGTAACACAAGCTGGCTACTTCAGGACCTTGTCCTGCAGCCCCCCACTACCAAAATCTTGCCATATAAACCTAATACAGCATGCAATTCTCCCATTGTGCCTTAGAGTGAACAAAGCATTGTCTTCTAGTAAAAAGACATCTTGTTTTAGAGGGAGGAAGAGAACACGCACAGCACATCCCAGAGCAGGAATCTGCACAGTATCAAAATCCAGCTTAGATTCCAGGAAAATGTTTGAATACGTCGCAGAAACAGATTCACTGCCAAAAGGTGTGGCAAATTACTAGCTTGACATTCTCATTAAGAAAAAAATCAGTTAGTTAGCTCTTGGATTGCATTTGCAGTTTTCAGCTTTGCACAAACTTTGTTGTGGAAACTTAGGAACCTATGGTTAGACAATAGTTCAAAACATTTTGAAAATGCCATTCTACTAAATAAATTTAGTGCGGCATTTTCTACTTATCTCACTACAAAGAAAGTGTATCACTGAAATACTTCCTCCTACACGTCTTACTCATTTGACTGATAACTCTGCAGACTTTCTAGCACAATGATCTTTTTAGTGCTTGTAATGAAGACGATGTGAATCATCTTCACTGTCACTTCATTTTAAGTTCATATTTAAAGTTAATGAGTCGGTACTGCCTGAATTACATAGCAAATTCATAAGCAAGTCCAAGACTAAACTCATTGTCCCTTCAGCACACCTGACTGCTGACCAAACACAGCCAGTTCTTAAACAAAAAATTTCTGTGCTTTGGCAGATGTTAGCTCTTTGTTGACCTCATAAACAAAGGTGATAATGTTGATGCACAATGAATATAAACTAGAGGCCACCAGCATATTTCACATTCAACATTTTGAACAGTTAATATTTCATGATAATGATCATTGGTAGATGACACATTCAATTTAACCAGAATATTACAAAAACATTCTTGAAAAACTAAGTTGAAAGGAGAGATCAGTGAACATATCAATGGAGGGACTGAAGGGCTCACTAGTAAATAAAACAGCTTGACCGAACTGGGATGTTACTAATGAACCCCCTCCTTGTCCCCCGGCCGCTGTTGG